ACCAAGGCACCCTCATACGCTGCAGCAGCAGTAGCAGCTGCAACAGCAACAGCAACAGCAGCAGCAGCAACAGCAAGACGAGATACCAGCATAGACTTCAGCAGCTTGTCTATCAGCCCAGCGGAATCAGCTGCGATTAGCAGCAGCAGAAACAAATCTAGAGAGCCACAACAGGGTCTGCTGCTGCTGTTGCTGCTGCTGCAGGGAAGCGCTGCTAGACGAGCAGCAGCTGCACTGAAGCAGCAACCATAGAGTGCAGCAGCAGCAGCACCGAAGGAGGGCAGCAGCCGCAAGGGCAGAGACAGCAGCATAGCCCAACAAAGCAGCAGAGATGGATTTGCTGCTTCTGCTGCTGCTAATGCTGCTGCTCCTGGCTGCTGCTGCAGCACCTGCTGGGCTGCTGCTGCACCAGCAGGCAACGAGGGATCCGAAACCCAAAGTGCGACAGCAGCAGCAGCAGAAGGTAACAAAGTCCGCGCAGCAGCAGCAACACATGGAAGCACAACCTGCAACAGAGGCAGCAGCAGCAGCAGCAGCAGCAGCATAGCGAGAAATCAAAAGCAGCAGCAGCAACGACAACAGCAGCAGCTACCAATCACCATAGGGTTTAGGGTTTAGGGTTTAGGGTTTAGGGTTTAGGGTTTACGAAGAGAAACAACTGCAGCACAAGAGACAAACGCCAGACAGCATGCCACTGTGGGGCCCCCCAAACAAGGGCCTCTGCTGCGAGAACAGAAAAGAGAGGGGCCCCCCGTCGTCTTGCTGCTGCTGCTGCTGCTGCTGCTGCTGACTCAGCTGCTGCCAGCTGCGACTCTGCAACTGTTGCGAGAGCCAGTTTGGACTCGGCTGTTGCTGCTGCTGTTGCTGCTTCTGTTGTTGCTGCTGCTGCTGCTGCATCTGCTGCAGTAAATGCTGCTCCTGCAGCAGCAGGCGCCGATGGAGGAGCAGCAAACAGCAGCAGCCCTTGGGTTGCCCGCAGCAGCAACAGGCAGCAAAACCCTAAACAAACTATCCCCCTAAAATTCAAAGACACCCACTCCAACGCAAACGCTAACGACAAACCCTCAGGGGGCCCCTCTAGGGACCCCTCAGGGGGCCCCTCTAGGGGCCCCTCAAAACCCTTAAAAGGAACCTCAGGGGGGCCCCTCTGGGGCCCCTCTAAAGGCCCTTCATGGGGCCCCTCTAGGGGCCCCCCAGAGGAGATCTCCAGGGGCCCCACAAGGGGCCCCCCCAGGGGCCCCCCTTGGGGGCCCCCTAATGGGCCCCCAAGGGACTTCTCCTGGAGCCCATCTAAGGGCCCCCCTAGGGGGCCCCCTAGGGGCCTCTCTAGGGGCCCCCCTAGGGGCCCCTCTTGGGGCCCCCCTAAGGGCTTCTCTAGGGGCCCCCCTAGGGGCCCCTCAAAAGGCCCCTCTAGGGGCTCCTCTAGGGGCCCCTCTAGGGGGCCCCCTAGGGGCCCCCCTAGGGGCCCCCCAAGGGGCCCCAGTGGAGTTAGATGTAGAGGGTTTTGTTCTTGTTGTTTTAGGGTTTTAATTTGGGGGTTTGCTGCAGAAATGATGAAAAAGGCGGCGGCGATGGGCAGAAGAAAAACGAAAAGAAGAAGAAACTGCGGAAAAAGATAAAAAGAGATCAAAGAGAGTAAATAAATATAAAAGAGATTAAATAAATATAAAAGATATTAAATAAATATAAAAGGAGACAGCAGGGTAATAAAGGAGACAAAAGGAGAATATAAATAAATATATATATATATATATATTTATTTAAATATATATACATATATCTATATATATATATATTCGTTTATATATATATATATATATTTATTTATTTATTTTATTTGTATATATAAAAGGAGACAGCAGAATATGAAAGGAGACAAAAGGATATAAAATAACACAAAATAAATAAAGATGTAAAAGGAGACAGTGTAATATAAAATAATATAAAAAGTAAATAAATATATAAAAGGAGACAGACAGTTAAATATAAAATAATATAAAAAGTAAATAAATATATAAAAGGAGACGGTGAAATATAAACAAAAAGAAATAAATAAAATAAAAGAGTTTTGAGGTGGGCCTCATTAAGAGATATCGACAGAATAAACAAAGTAGATAGACAGACAGACAAATATATTAATAAATAAATAAATATAAATAAATAAATAAATATAAATAAATATATATATACATAAATATGTAAATATGTAAATATATAAATATATAAGGAGACAGAGAGAGAAATAAATAGTAAAATAAAGTTTACATAAATAAATAAATTTACAGACAGAGAGACAAATAAATAAAATAAATGAGAGGATAAGGAGACAGAAAGATAAATAAATAAATAAATAAATAAGAATGCAAGAAGAGAGAATAATAAAGCAAGAAATAAAGAGACAAGGAGACAGATAAACAAAAGGAATAAACAAAATAATACAGAACAATAGATAAATAAATTAAAAGGAGATAGAGAGACAAATAAATAAATAAATAAACGAGGAGGAGATAAGGAGACAGGTAAACAAACAAAAGATAAAAAGGATGAAGAGAGTAAAGAGATATAAGGAGACAGAGACAGAGAGAGAGAGAGAGAGACAAAGAAAGAAAGAGAGAGAGAGACACAAACGCAAGCACACACTCTGTCTGTCTGTCTCTCTCTCTGTCTCTCTCTCTCTCTGTCTCTCTCTCTGTCTCTGTCTCTGTCTCTCTCTCTGTCTCTCTCTCTGTCTCTCTCTGTCTCTCTGTCTCCCTGTCTCTCTGTCTCTGTCTCTCTCTCTCTCTCTGTCTCTGTCTCTGTCTCTGTCCCTCTCCCTTTCTCTGTCTCTCCGTCTCTGTCTCTCTGTCTCTCTCTGTCTCTCTCTCTGTCTCTCTCTCTGTCTCTCTCTCTGTCTCTCTCTGTCTGTCTCTCTGTCTCTCTCTCTGTCTCTGTCTCTGTCTGTTTGTCTCTCTGTCTCTCTGTCTCTCTCTGTCTCTCTCTCTGTCTCTCTGTCTCTCTCTCTGTCTCTGTCTCCCTCTGTCTGTCTCTATCTCTCTGTCTTTCTCTTCTTTATCTATTCCTCTCACCTTAGCAGCAGCAGCAGCTCTTCTCTTTCTTAAATAAAACAAAAACAAAGGCATCAATACGCCCCCAAACATATATAAGACAAACAATAGGGGGCCCCCCCCCTCCAGGGGGCCCCCCAGGGGCCCTGGGGGCCCCCCCCAGCTCTCTCCTCCCTCTTCACTGACACCTGAAGCATCTAAACGAGGCAACAGCAATGAAGGGGCCCCCAGGAGGCCCCCAGAGGGGCCCCCAAGGGGGCCCCCAGGGGGGGCCCCCAGGGGCCCCTCCTGGGTCTCAAACGGCAGCAAAGAGGGGGGGGCCCCTCCAGTTGCTTCCATGAGAATGAAGCTTCAAACGTCAACAACACATGTTTTAATAGGGTTTAGAGTTTAGGGTTTAGGGTTTAGGGGTTAGGGGCTAGGGCTTTGGGGTTGCAGGAAGGAGCGACAGCCCTTCGGGGGGCGGCGGCGAGGGTTGGGGGCTGCAGCCTCAACCCGACTCCCTAAACCCTAAACCCTAAACCCTAAACCCTAAACCCTAAACGCTAAAGAGTTCAATTTTGTTAATATGTGGGCGGCTTTTTCTGCTTCGCAAATGGGACGCGGGGGGAGAGCTAAACCCTAAACCCTAAACCCTAAACCCTAATCCGTGCACAGGAGCTAAATCTTAGGCCATCGACAGGAAACCCTAAACCCTAAACCCTAAACCCTAAACCACACACAAGACAACATCTTTCTCGCATTGGTTTCGGCCTCTCTGATGGTAGTAATTAGCTGCTGCTTGTTCTGCTACTTCAGCTGTTGCCGTTGCTGCTGTTGCTGCTGCTGCTGCTGCTGAGTCTATTGCTGCTGTTGCAGCTGTTGCTGCTGCAGCAGCAGCCGCTGCTGCTGCTATTGCTACGGCTATCACGGGCAATCGCAGCTGCTGCTGAAGATCTTGCTGTTGCTGCTGCTGATTCAATTGCTGCTGCTGCAAGTAGTTTTATGCCGTTTGCGAGGCAAAGAGCAGCAACAGCAGCAAAATTTTCAGCTGCAACAGCAACAAGTGCAGCAGCAGCAGCAGCAGAAGCAGCAGAAGCAGCAGCAGCAGTCCTTGTGCCTGCACATGCTAGACAGGGTATCTACACCGAAGTTGTTTTGAGTGAGTGTGAGAGGGTTTAGGGTTTTAAGCCTCAACAGTTTTAGGGTTTAGGGTTTTCTTTCGTTATCGTAACAGCAGCAGGAGCTGCAGCTGCGGTGTATATACACCCCAAGACAAATGCATAAGCAGAGCCCTAAAGAGACAGACTTAGATTTTTCTTATTCAGCTGTACGTACACCGCAAAAACAAATAGATAAAAAAACTGTAAACAAAGTAAACAAAACATATTGCCTTCTAAAAAGGGCTTAAGGGGGCCCCGAAACAAATGAAAATAGCCTCTATAGGGCCCCCAGCCACCCGCACAATAACAAATAATAATAATAATAATAATAATAATAATAATAATAATAATAATAATAATAATAATGCTAAAATAACGCAAGGATCCCTCAAAAGACAGACCCAGAGACGACTAAGGAGGCCCTCACGGGGGCCCCCATGGGGGCCTCCTACAGGGGGGCCCCCAACAGGGCCTATCAGGGGGGCCCCCAAGGGGGCCTCCCAACAGGGGGGCCTCTAATAAGGCTTACCAGGGGGCCCCCAAAGGGGAAGAAAGGGGGGCCCCCAATAGGGCCTACCGGGGGGCCCTCAATGGGGCTTCTAAAGGGCCTACAGTGAGCCTAGCAGGGGGTCTCCAAGTGGGCTTAAAGGGGGCCCCCAAGTAGGCTTAAAGGGGGCCCTCAGGAGGGCTTAAAGGGGGCCCCCAAGGGGGCTCCTAAAGGGCCCCCAAAATGAGCTTCTAAAGGGCCCAATGTGGGGTCTAAACGGGGGCCCCAAAGGGTTGGCCAATAGGGGGCCCCCAATGGGGCCCTTAAAGGACCTTCAAAATGAGCTAATATAGGGCCCCCTAGAAGACCTGTTGGGGGCCCCCTAGGGGTCTTTTAAGGGGCCCCCGAGAAGACCTGTG